ACATCTCTTCGAAATGTATATCTCTGTGTAAGTACTCTAAACACTGCTCGTATAGACTCCTCTTCTTCTCGTCCAATGTCTTCGTGAGCTTATGTCTAATGTGTTTAATGGTCTGATCCTTCAGATCGGACACATTATTGGTCACAAAGTAATCGGAGATTCGTTTGGTATTACGTTTGAGTGATTGGTGGAGATTTCGGAGTCCAAGTGTGTCGTTAGAAGCGACCAATACTTTCGATTGGCCGAAACCGTCGCACAAAACGAGTTGCTTTACAATTTCGGCCAAAACATAGGATTTGTCCGAACCCTTAAGTAGTACAAAGTTTGAGTGCGCGGGCGATGGGTTGGACACCACATCGAGCGCTATCTGAATGCACTCTCTGTGCTTAGAACTGAATTTGGAGTCATTTATCTGACATAAAAGGCCCGAAGGTTTCGATGAGAAGAGTGGAGAGAATATTTGTCTCCAAACAGGGAACTGTTCAAACTTGAAGATAGCCTTCATTTGGAGCACATAGTGGTGAATACAAATGACCGGTTGGGCGATCATAAGCCAGTCGTTTCTCTCATACATCTCTTCGCTATATCGGGTCATAAAAGAGATTTCTTCGATCAAAGTATAGTCTCGTTTGTCTTCTCTGCAGAAGTAGCGCAAGTGATTCACTTCGGACTGATGTTCGGCATTGATTGCGCGGACGGAATGGTTGGTAACGTATCCCAAGTATTTGCGTCGACTAACAGTGGGCTGAGAGCTGTTGGGCGGCGGTTGGAAAGCCGTTTGGATCACTACTAACTGCCCGAACCGGAAGTAAGGCTTGTCTTCGGTTCCGATGATTGAAATGCACTTCATTTCCAACCCGTCGTGCATTCTATCGGTTTTCCATTTGTCCACAACTGAACACTTCCGATGAGAGCCGCGAGTCTTCGCTCTCGCAGTGAATTCAAGATTTGCTTTTTGCCAAAAGTCTGTCACAACGAACGGAATGAATGCCTCCAGAAATGTGGGCATCGATTTAAACTGAAGAGTACGGGATATGTCTTTCAATTGTGAATACATCGATATGCGGGACACGTCTGGAGAGTCCAAATCATTGCCACTCAATCCCAAGAGATAAGTCATAAAGTCTTTCATGTCTTTCGGGAGATCCAAGACTTCAATTGGTTCGCAAGTAGTGGTCAATGGGTTCGGAGGAGTGATTGTCGCCGAATCCTAACAGATAATAGGATTATAAAATCAGATTATAATTTATAAACAAATCTCAAACCACAACCGTCTGTGATATGTGTTGAGTGTCCGACTCTTGATCTATTGGTTCCGCTTTAATACGTTTATTAGTCGTGGAATCGCTTGACTCACTTGAGCGCCGCTTTGAAGCCGTCTCTTCCGACTCCGACACCACAACACTCTTAATGCCACGCTTTATATCACCGACTGATGCAACAGATCCAACGGCACTGTCTTCGGGCGTGTCGTTGTCCTCCTCCTCGTCGTCGTCGTCCTCATCGTATTCCTCTTCATTCCCGAACAACAACGACCTAATATCGGGAACTCCTTCGCCATCGTTCTCCTCCTCTCCGTCGCCCTCTTCTTCATTGTCTCCGTTATTGTGGCCATCATTTGGCACGACTTCACGCGTGTCCTCAGCGTTACCATCAGTGGTCTCGTCGGTAGCGCTCGTGCGGGCGATTGTCTCGCCGTTTGTGTCCACCGTTTCAGACATTTATCAACGATTTGTTTGAATGACTTTTAAATCAAATCTAATTTAAACGCAAATCAAAAGACATTTGTTTTCATTGTTTTGTTTTTTAAATTCAAATATTCATTCATTTGAGCGCTTTTTACACACTTTAGAGGTCTTAACGGTTATTGAAATGTGTTTTGCAATTAATTGTAACTCAAATGAAAAGTCAATTGATATAAAAATTTAACCTTTAATTCAATTGCAATTCAATAATCATTTTAAAAATTGCATTCAATTTAAACAATTAAATGTTTACAAAATTAAAGCGCTAATTTTGTACTAAAGTAAGTGATTATTTACTCGCTATTAATGCCGATATTTACTCCTCTCTCACTCACAACATAACTAACATTCTAATTACACAAAAAACCATTATTAAATGGTTTAGTGTTAAGTAATCGATGAGACAATTAGTAAAGTATTACAAATCAATAATCGCTTTAAAAATATAACACTTTTAAAAGGAAAACAAACCCCAAATGAAAGTGCATTGAAATGGCTTTCAATAGACGTTATTAATAGTGAGCGAAACGACGGCTCGTTTTGAGTGAATCGTAAACTCAATTCATTTCAATGTTTATAACGAGAAGTGATTTGTTGTGAAACCGATTGAAGCGATCACTCAATCACTTGATTATCACGTGTTTTGACATTGACTTCAAGTATTAGTCCGTCGATTGATTGTCGCCGAAGAAGCGCTCGCGAAGACAATGGAGGAGTGGTTGACACGATTGGAGTCAATGCAACTGAAGAGATCGGAGCTAAACCTCCTGATCATGGATTACCTGATGGCCGAGGGATTCAAAGAAGCGGCCGAACGGTTCAAACTCGAGGCCAACATCGATGTGGAGAAGATCCAGGAGTTCATGAATAGCCGGGAGACCAACGAACAGATTGACGAAAGGATATCAGTCCGGGTGGCCATCGAAGACGGCCGCATACGGGAGGCCATGAAACTGATCAACGATTACTATCCGGAGCTCATCGACAATAACAGACATTTGTATTTCAAATTACAGGTATTTGTCCCACACTTGTTATCAATCATACAAAGTGTTGACTCTCTCTCTCTCTCTCGTGAATGGTTGACAGCAACAACAGCTGATTGAACTGATCCGCGAGCATCTTCTGGAGGAAGCGCTTCAATTCTCTCAGCAACAGCTGAGTGTTGACAGCGATTACCTTCAGCTGCCAGAACTGGAGCGGACACTATCGCTGCTGGCCTTCGATAAGCCAGAGAACAGCCCGTACTCTGATTTACTGCATTCGTCGCACAGACAACAGTTGGCGTCCGAAGTGAACGAAGCCATCCTTAAGGAGCAGTCGGGCGAAGGACAGGCCTCGAAGCCAAAGCTGGTTTCGCTCATTAAACTGCTTCTGTGGACACAGAATGAGTTGGAGAAGAAGAAGGTTAAGTTCACCAAAATATCCGATTTGATGTCCGCCTCCTTCTCATCCAATAGCGACTGACGAGACAACTAATCGTTTCTTTTTGTAAATCTTATGTATTTTCTTCAGTTTATGTCTGATTAATATTATTCTTATATTAACTGTAATTTATAACAATTATTAACGTATTATAATCTCATGATATGTTTGATAGAATCCTTTAAAATATTAAAATAATAATAATTATAGCAATAATAAGTTTTTTTGATTAATATTATTCTTATATTATCTGTAATTTATAACAATTATTAACGTATTATAATCTCATGATATGTTTGATAGAATCCTTTAAAATATTAAAATAATAATAATTATAGCAATAATAAGTTTTTTTTCTATATTTGGATGATATTGTGTATGCATTTAAACTACAACTTTATTTCAAAGATTTGGTATTAAAATGTATAAAAACTAGACATTTAACTCTTAAATGCATTCAATAGTGATTTGGAGGGCTTTTTAATAGTCCTCATATCCAGGCATTTGAAACTTTTCGGCAAATGACTCGATATTTTCCTTCAAAGACACGATTTTTGAGTGATATTTCTCCGATTTCATGGTCGCGACGAAGTCTTTGAGCAAAACTCCCGGCGACGCAGCTTTGATTTCTTGAGCTAATTTCAGGCCTATTTGGGATTCAAGTGGATTAGGATTTCGGTATAGATTACAAATAGTAATTGCTTTGTTAACCTTCATCGATGTAATCGACCACCTTTTCGATGTCACTCTCCTTCAGACCTCTGGTAGTGAGAGCCGGTGTTCCCAATCGGACGCCTCCCGGGTTTAGAGCAGACTTATCGCCGGGAACTGTGTTTTTGTTGCACGCGATTGAGATCTCCTCCAAAACTCGTTCAGCTCTGGCGCCGTTCAGTCCCTTCGGTCTTAGATCGACCCAAACCAAGTGATTGTCGGTTCCGCCCGTCACACAAGTATAGCCACGAGATTGTAAGCCCTTCACAAGTGTTGCGGCGTTTTTTATCACTTGTTTCTGGTATTCAGCGAACTCAGGAGTCGCCGCCTGTTTCATAGCTGTGGCGATGCCTTCAGTCAAACAAACAAATATAACTCACTTGTAAATTGAAACTCAAATCACATTTCGCTTCAGTTATACCTGCGATGGTGTTGTCGTGAGGGCCGCCCTGAAGGCCGGGGAAAACCGCCTGATTTATCTTATCCTCGAAGTCATACAACTCTTTCTCTCCGGTCTTTGAAACCGATTTAACGCCTTTGCGATAGAAGATAACGCCAGCGCGCGGTCCTCTCAGCGTCTTGTGAGTAGTGGTCGTAACGATATCGCAGAACTCGAATGGCGTGGGAATCAATTTGGCCGCCACTAAACCACTCACGTGTGCCATATCTGCCATCAATAGCGAACCGTTTTCCGTAGCGATCGCTTTGAATCGCTTGTAATCGAGATTTCTTGGATAACAACTGATGCCAGCGATGATTAGCTTCGGTTTGAAGAGTTTGGCGTTTCGCTGGAGTTCGTCGTAATCGATAAGTCCGGTCGAGACATTGATTTTGTATGGCATGGACTCGAAGAATATAGAAGTGGCCGATATCTTCTTCTTTTCGGTGAAGTAGCCGTGAGTGAGATGACCGCCGTCTGGCAAATCCAAACCCATGATCCGTCCGTGCGGTCCCACCAGAGCTGTATACACAGCGAAGTTGGCCGGAGAGCCGGAATATGGCTGAACATTGACGCCCCACTCATCGGCGCTCAGACCGTATGTCTCGAGAGCGCGTCTTTGGCACAATCTCTCGATTTCATCGATCACTTCATTTCCTCCATAATATCTAATCATTCAATAAACAAATCATTGATTACTTAGCGATCGTTTCTACGATTTCTATTAGAATAGTATCGCATTAATAGCCAAAAACTAATTGTAAGTCTACCCCACACTCCCCTAACCATCTTCTTCCTGATCACATGAACTTTACATTCAAGTAAACCATATATTTATTCAGTTTTTATCAGATTAAGTGTTTTTCAAAGAATTCAATTCAGGTTTCCATAAAAAACAAAAATTCTTGGTTTCTTTAAAAACTAGTTTTTAAACAGTTTCTGAGTTTCCATGAAATTCATTAAATATTTCGTATAAAATCTATATCTTATAATTGTTGGATTGGATTTCAAATCACGTCCTAATTATATGAACATCTCTTAGAAATTGGCAGAAAATATGCAGTTTTTGTATTAAATATCATTTACTATATTTTATTTCAATTTCATAATTGAAGTTAAATATAAAACACAGACAAAACCTTATGAAATATTAGACATTAATTATCGATTGGGAGAATATATCAGACGAAAGGCTCTAAAGTCTAACTTTTGATAAATTTAGCGAAAAACACATCCAATTGAATGACACAAAGAGACGATATAGACATGACATGAGTGACAAACCTCTGTCCGGGATAGCCTTCGGAGTACTTGTTATGGAGACAACTGCTCAGACATTGGAGTACCGAAAGGCTGGTAAAGTTCTCGGAGGCGATCATCTCGAGGCCCCGATTCTGGCGCCTCTTCTCATTCTGGATCAGTTTGAAGAGTTCGGGATCGCTCTCATCGACCGTTTGGTTGAGATACCACTTCTGCGAAGACATATTAGCCGCGAGTGTCGTATGGATGGGACGCACGAGTAATCGTTGACAATAAGGAGCTCTTTGGACGCAGCGATGGGAATGGTTTGCGAGACTCTCTAAGACTGGTATGAAATGACGTAAAGTAATCATTAATAAGGAGAGAGCGGAGAGGGAGTCAAGAGAGACAAGAGAGAGGAGACACAAGTGTTGACATAAATGAATGACAAATCACAATCAAAATCGTGTTAAAATCTTTTCGCTCACTAATGAAAACCTATTGAAAATATATATTTTTATTGAGACACAAAACCATAAGAAAAGTTTGTATTTTCTCCCAAAAAGTTTTTTCCTCTGAAAACGTGTCGTCAGAACTGGAATCACAGGCACTGGTTGTTGGAGACAGAGGTCTGGGAGCTGTCGTTCCCCTCCTAATGGCCTGTCCTATGGGTCCCCACTTTGAAGGCCGTTGTAATACAGTATAGCCTTTACTATAAGCTCTGGCTTTTAATTTTACCGATTAATTCAATTCATATCTCATATCAATTAGTTTTATTGAATACGTAAACAATGATAACGAGTACTGATAAACAATATATAAAACTTTTGTTTTCAACGCATTCCTATAGCGTTTGGTTCAAACTTTGGTTCATTTCAATCGCAAACCACTTATTTAATCAATAAATTGATATTTACTTTGAATGACAATTATTATTGTTATGAATATTAATATGTATTTGAATTGTGAACACGATTTACGTTAGGAGTGAATAGGATTTCATGTGATTATTGCATATCATTTCACACCAACTCTTGTCATCAAATGCTATCATATCTACAAATCTCTGACTCTATTGGCAGACAATGTATTCAAACAAAAGTGCGCTAAAGTAGTGATAAAGTTTCACTCTTGTCGTTACAGCATAGCATACAAGTACAGAATAACTAGGGACTATATGCCCATGGTCATCGCATCTGCTTTTATCATGTTCAATTACTGTAAAAACATTAGAATTTAATCATTAATTTGCGATCATCTCTGTTTTCATAAGATTTCTTATATCAAAATATAAAATTGATTGCAATTGAAATAACATTAATTTAATGGAATTGGAATCTATAGTGTTATATAAACTAACAATATATATGTTCAGTAATTTTAATTAAAAAGTATAATTCTATATATCATTAACGAGTTGTGTAATTAAAGTACAGTATCTCCAAATAAAGTTTTGATAACTTTTGATAACATTTGGACAATTTTTATAAAACCTTTGCGCATAAATGTTCACAACTAAATCAATTGGGTTTCAAATCAGATTTCATTGGTTGTGAATATCAAACACAAACTCTTTGCTAACAAATTCAATGAATTCAATACAGTATTCAATATAGTATTGGGAATAAAAGTATGATTTTTAAATATTTCAAAGAATAAGCGATTGAATGAATAAAATAAGGGGAAAAGTGGTGTAAGTGTTACACATATGCTCTGATAGCGGTTTTAAGAGCTATTCAAACGAGAAATTCAGTTCAACTAATTCTTCCTCAACTAAACGATAGGCTTTTGAAACTTATTTCAAAAGGAAATACGACTCCATATGTCCGGAATATGAGCGCAGAGTAGAGTACATATCAAATAGTTTTCCCTTCAAATATAGCCACTTTTGATCCCCATTTCTAAATCATATCAATCAATACATTGACAGACATCTCATTAAACAATATTGTTTAGAGAACCAGAACCACACGTTCAGTGAGTTGTGGATTAATTAGTTATCATAGCATTAAAACATTTACATAAATCTTAATATTTAATTATTTGTATGAATAACTTGTGTAGAGTATTATCGAAGTCTATGAAAGTCTACAAAGTTGTAAAAAGTAAGTAACGATTTGAGTGCAAAACCGAGAAGCCATGGGTCGAGAAGTGAAGTGTAAAATGCTTTTGTATATACATTGAGAAGAAGTGTAATATTTTTTGTATGTAAAATAAATGGGCAAAAGAATAGTTGGCGTTAAGGATATAAACTCGACTTCATGTCAGTGAAGAGGGGGTAAAGAACTGGAGTATTGAACAACAAAAGTAATTAATTTAATTACATGTCATTACAATAGGAGTGTTGAAGAAAAGATCACAACACAAGGGATGCCATATATCATGCAATCCATCACCAAATGACTCATAAAGTCGATGCAAATCTTATAATAAAAGACTTTTTAAAAGCAATTATTTCAGCTTAAAATCAGAAACCGTTTAAAAAATTAGATTTTCTGCTAATATTACAAGAAATTCAACGAAACTATAGTTTTGTTCAGTTAACGACTTATAGAGACTCTCTTAACAGACAATATATCGAGAATTGAAGTGACATTAAATGCAAAATTCATAACTCGTTTGTTATACTTGTATTTGAACGAGACTTTCAAACTTTTTACCACTTGTTTGAAACGATCGGTGAAAATAAATATTTAATAGCAGAGTAAAGGCATCCGCTCTGCCAGACCTCTCATCGCCCAAACACTCATTACAATTGGCTTTGATTTTTAGTGTCAAGAATTAAAAATAGGTTTTTATAGACACTTATAAAGTGTCTCAAACATAACGAGAATCGGATTAATGTTAATGTTTTTTCAGTGATTTGCAAAACAGGGTTTCAGGTCTAATCAGGTCTAACACTGTGTTTGCAAAAGTCAAACGCTATTCGCTTTATAATAAAAAGCACAGCAAGTATTCAATGAATATCACTCTTTGCGCTTACTTTACGTTACTTTACACTCAATTCAGTGATTGAAAGCGCTTTACACCACAGAATCCACAGACAAAACGTATACCTTATTAATACTGCAACTCATAAACTATAACTTTCTTTACATAAATTACTTGTTTTTAGCGTTTATGCAAATCATTGGCAACAAATCTTAAACAAATTGAATGCAAAATATGTATTTCGGGTCATATATTAAATACAATAAAAATAATTAAATCCGATTCCTTATGCATTACATACACATACGTCTACAGTAACGAGAGTACACTGTATTGGCAGCAAAACTATTTGAATGAGTTTTCAATAGACACATACAGTATGACCTAATTATACAATACATACGCGGAAACCGGGATCAAACATGATCAACACAAACATGGTGCAAATGTGCATGCTCATATTACCGCACATACAATACGGGCAATGAATGAGATGTGTATTTGTATGATAAGAGTGATGTGTGAATGGGATGTAGTAATGAGCGACAATTGTATGGTGTGTTTTGAGCCCCGATAGCAACCCATTGCGTGAAATACAGTGTAATGTATTAATAGTATTGGTTTTGAATGGTTTGTATGGTTTGAATGGCTGTGAATGTGTTGGCAGTACTGGTATTGTGACAACACATAGACAACAGGTTTGGGTAATAGGAGAGTGTGTGTGCAGTGTGTGAGCCAATCATATGCTCGCGTCAGTACTGACAGTACAGTACGGCTACACTACAGCTATACTGCCATAAGCTGTGAATAGAGTAGTGTTTGTATGCATTGGTAATGCATTTGTGTTTCAACACAAACCTTATCACAAAATGGCTTCGAATCTGACGGCCATATCGTTGTCCACAATGTTATGAATGAGGCGTTCGATCATTAGGTCATCCGTCGTGTCATTCGTGCGGTAAGTGTTGACCACTTCTACACTCCTCTCACACACGACACACAACACGTGTCTCTCTATCGCGACCATCACTGCCATCGCATCCAAACACCACAAACACATCCATCTCCACAACACTCCACAACACACCCGACCCCTCACTACTACCACACACTCCACCACCAGTTGTGCCACTTCTCGACCCCTCCCTCACACACAACACCCCCACCACTGACCGCATGTGTGGCCACAACTGTGTCCTCAAAGCTGTGTTGCGGTAGTAATGAGTGGTGTCTTGTGTTTGTGTGCACTCAATGGCGACCGATATATGACTTGTGTCTCCACCGAGAGATGTGTTTATATTTTTGCGTTTGGACTGCAATTGATGTGAATTGTGTGGCCTTTAAATGAGACGATTGTTTGCAAATAATATAGTGTTTTGTTTGATATTTAATATTCGGTATAAATATAAATAGTTGTATGCATTGAATGTGTATTTGTTTGTTGAGTGCAATTGAGTTGAGTTGTGTTGTGTTGGGGAGAGAAGGAGAGGGAGAGAGAGAGAGTAGACATGATATGTTGAGGCAGTGGTAATGTAGAGCACTGTCGTGTAGTGCAGTGAGAGAGAGGGCACAGCAATAGCACTGTTGGTGCCTATGGCTGAGCCAAATGGTAAGCTTGTGCTCATATTAGTGCCGTAATACACATCCACTACGGAACACACCAGCCGTACGCTCACAGCCCTCACAACCCTCACAGCGCACACTCACTCTCTCTCTCCCTCTCAGTATTACATGATTATACCCTTCCCTTCACAACAACACAATACAGCACTTAATTACTCGTTAACTAATATTAACTGTTTATTCGTTGCATTATTTTATTTACTATTTAATTGAAATCACAATTGATTTGTTTGCTAAACATATACTCATTTTATCGATGAAATTGAATCAATGGATGTATTGATGGGTTTTGGGATGCGATGGATGTGATAGTGATTGATATATCGGTCTGTTTTAGTTGTCCACAGCTTTGAATGGCTGATGATTTTAGACACTGTTTTAGTATTACATTTTTAAAATGACTTTTAATTTATTGATCGTATTTTTGACGTTTGTTTTTGAATGTTATGGCAATTGAAGACATCATTTGATCACAAGAAGCGAATCCCATTAAAGCAAAGATTCAGTTAATAGTCTTAAGTGGTGTTTGGATTGAATCGACAACTCATTTGTTGTAAACCATAAACTGTTGTTCAGAAAACCCATTGTTTGGTGTGATTTAGTGAGGAATAGACTGATAATCGCAAACAATGGGTCTTCACGGCGGCGGTGAAGAGTCACTGACGAGTGGGTCCAGCGGTTGGGGAACACTTCCACCAATGAATTCATCGTCTGCCGAGTGGGGCAGCGGTTCCGCAAATCACACTTCAAGTGCTAATCATTGGCCAAATTCTTCGCGACAAATGGCGAACTGTGATCAAACTCTGTCGACATCTCCGAAGCCTTCGAGTTCATGGGCTCAGGCGGCCGGCAAAGGACTGAACAATGGACCCATTGGACCAAACCATGATCTCAGTGTGTTTGGCAATAATGATAATTCCACTAAACGACAAACCAATAGTGATTTCCAACAAATTAACAGTGAAATTAAAGACACGGCTCTCGTCTCTGACAACTGGGGAATAACTGTATGTATTGAGTGATTGACTGATGTGAGTGTAATGTAATGGTAATTGCAATTGTCTGTTCCACCTAGGTGATAAACCAGGACTCACCCTGGAAACTCCCTCCGTCCCCTCAGTCAAGTCCAAGAGAGGTTAGTAGCAGTGCTTCGCAGTGGAAGAGCAGCACAAGTTCAGGCACTGAGATCTGGGAAAATACCGTCCGTCACAAAACCAAAGGACCGACGCCTACGCCCACCGCCCAGTCCTCGTCGGGGCAGTCGTGGGGTCCGCACACGCCCTCTACTCATATCGGCGGCACTTGGGGTGAGGACGAGGACAACACCAACCACTGGACTGGTGTTCCCCAACACAACCAACACAACCCCGCGACCAACCAATCCAACACCAGTTCGTCGAGCAGTTGGTCAGCAAACGCCTCCATAGCTAACAATAATACTATGAATAATAGTAGTAATAATAATAATATCAATAATAATAATAATAACGGAAACAATAATAATCCGACTAATAATATGCAGTGGAATCACAACTCAGATAATAGTAAACACAATAACTCGGAGAACAACAGCTCTCGACACAACTCGGAGGGCAGACATAACGCCGAGAACAGACCCAAAATGAACCACAACTCCCAATGGGCTGATTATAATAATGGTAAGCATTGGTTGCACTGTTTGTATGTCAACATTGGGGTAATGGTGTGTTGTATATGTGATTATCTGCAGAACAAAACGATTCCAACGGATCAGAGCCTCAATGGAACGATGCGAAGAGCGGCGGCGAATCGTTCGGCACGTGGGCTCCGGAGTCGACTCACAAGAAAGACGGTTCCGGTTGGGACAAAGACTCAGCTGAGGGTCGGGGCGGTAGTTACGACGACGGGACGGCCGTATGGGGTAATCCTGTGCGCCAGGGAAAGGTGTCGCACTGGAAGGCCGAGGCGGCCGCCGCTGCTGCTGCTGCCGCTGCCAAACCCATCACACAGACAGTCCTGAACCCGAACGGCAATACAACTTCGAGTGGAATGTCTGCAATGATTCCTTCTAGTCCTGGAATGATTCGACTGCCGGCCGGTGCGCCCATTGCTGGCAAAAACAACGGCGAGAATTGGGGCAAACCTTCTCCGCCCATTCCCAGCAGTCGAGGAAATTCGTGGTCAGAGGCGTCTACTCATCGCGATTCGCCCGCAAACAGTACTACCGGTTCTCTATGGTGTGACTCCGACGCCAAGCCTACTATGAATCGAACCCCGAATACACCGAATTGGGCCGAGTCTTCGAACTCTAGTCCACTCGCCTATTGGGCAGCGAAGCCGAAGGCAACTAATAATCAGAATAATCAGAACTCGAATTGGAGTGACGGCCAAATCGACACAAGCAGTTGGGGCGGACCTAAACAGGGAAAGCCTCTCTCCAGAGATATTATATGGGCGAGTAAACAGTTCCGCATTCTTACTGACATGGGCTTCAAGGTATTGGACATCACTTAACACTTACCCCAAACATTCACACTCTCTTACCTCTCACTTCTTGCACTTGTATTCCTAATTCAATGTTTAACTCGTTTTCGGATATGTTTTCACTAAATTCTATACCTCTTGTCAACCATTATTGCAATACAAACAATGAATTAACGAAACATTTTAATGAAATGAACAGAAAGATGACGTCGAGAATGCTCTTCGAAACAGTTCTATGAAACTCGAGGAAGCAATCAGTAAGTGTTTAGTTGTCTAATGATTGTGGCGTCCATTTAATAACACATTTAATGCCCGATCAGATGAACTGAAGAACTCGTCCCCACGAGATTCCAATGCCATGGATTTGGAGAATATGCAGCGCTTTAAGGTATGAATGCAGTGACAATCGGTTGATACCATGTTTAACACATGTCTGTATGGAATAGGGGTCAGGGATGGGTTCGAGCAATACTCCTAGTCTACTTAGCAACACATCAGGCATTGCCAACTCTAGTCTTTCCAGTATTAGCCGAAACCCTTTGGGATCAATTCTGCCGCCACCACATCAACCAACAGCTCAGACACAGTCATTCACACAAGTAGTGTATAAATCAATGCTATGACCAAATGTCTAACATACCTGTGCCCACACACTACAGGCCAATCAGGTTCAAAGTGCCTTAGGATCGAACCCGAATGGAAGTCGCATCGGTGGTAGCGCACAGTCCAATCAATCCAATACAGCTAATCTCCGACTCCTCGTACAACAAATTCAACTGGCAGTTCATGCCGGACATCTCAATGCACAGGTATGCGCACCACCACTACCCATGCATTACCACTACTAATGGTGTGTTACTAATTGTACTGATTGTTGCAGATCTTGAACCAACCCCTGGCACCGCCAACACTCCAACTCTTGTATCAATTGTTACAACAGATAAAGTTCTTACAGCAGTTGCAGGTGTCGGCGAACCAACACAGCAAAACCGGTGCCACAAACCCGGGCGGAGTGCCGGCCCTCCAGTCGTCAATCAATGTACAACTCACTCAAACAAAGCAACGTATTCTTAACCTTCAGAACCAAATCGCCGCACAACAGGCGATCTTCTTGAAAGAGCAGCACCAGAGCCAACAGATAGTACCACAAACTCCCAACGCTATGATGGGCACCGGCTCTAACGCCAACACATCGACAATGCATTCACAGCAGACTTCCAATAACGACTTCTTCAAGAGTCCACAACCAGACAACTCACTTGTGATAAATAATGACAGAGACATCGGCTCTCAATCGTTGTCCCGCTTTCAGACCACTTGGAAGCCAGCGTTCAATAAAGAAGACAATAAAGTCAATGTTAATAATATGATACCCAATGAGTTTAGTCGAGCTCCGGGACCATTGCCTAAACAAAGCCTATCCAGAAGTGATGTCCCGAACTGGACTGGATTTGGCCAAAACGATGAGTCAAGCGGTTGGCCTTCGGACGTGACGGTGAACTCGATGTCGGGTTTGAATCTGAAGCACAACGACTTGAAGGATATGCCGAACGCGCTGTCGGGTGGTCTGCCGGACGCGTACAACGCTCTGAACGATATGGTGCCGGAGTTCGAACCGGGAAAGCCATGGAAAGGCAACTCGAGTCTCAAGAGCATTGAAGACGACCCGACCATTACTCCGGGAAGTGTCAATCGCTCTCCGCTCTCAATCAACACAATCAAAGACCCGCTTTTCAATTGGCCCTCAAAGCTGAGTCCGGGAACGCCTAACACTAACGCCGCCGACTCGTTGTTGTCATTGTCTTCAAGTACGTGGGCTTTCACTCCGCCTTCAAATCCGCACATTAATTATAATACTGTCGACAATAATAAACCTAAGAATAACCTGAAATCCCCGTCCAATTGGGGAGCACTCAATGCTGAGCTTCAATTGAACGCATGCACTGACGGCCTGTGGAGCGGCGGTTCGGTTTCCAAGACTAGCCGTCCGCCACCCGGGCTAACGCCTCAGATCAAGAGTCCGGCCACAACTCTGCCCAACTCTGGAACTGTCAATCCGACAGTGAGCTCAGCTCACAATCTCTGGAATCCAGACAATCGTCAGAACGGCTCCGAGTTTCTCCTCCTTCGCAATCTTACGCCACAGGTTTGTGTCCACACATGAGTCGATGACTGGGTTTGCATTAATTGACTTGTTTTGACAGATCGACGGCTCAACACTGAAGACCTTATGTCTACAACACGGGCCGCTGCAACTGTTCCACTTATTCCTAAACCACGGCATAGCTCTGACCCGATACTCAACTCGCGAGGAGGCGACCAAAGCTCAGTCAGCTCTGAATAACTGCGTTTTAGGCAATACTTCAATATTGGCTGACATCCCACAAGAGGCAGAGGTTCAGCAGTATCTGCAGCTTATCTCAGGTGGTGGTCAACAAATAGCATCCAATTCGCTAAACAATCCCCTAAACTGGTCCCAAAACGGCCAAAACAGCAGTTCATCGAATGGCGTGAACCAGTCATCGGGTCTGTACCGGAACGCCAACAGCTCTCTCCAATTCGCCGGAACCTCCAACTCGACACCATCTAAGATGGACTCGAGTACTACCTCTCCGGGTTGGAACACATCGGGCATGAGTTTGTGGCCGTTCTCTAATTCCGGCAATAACTTATGGAGCGCTCCATCCGGTGCTGCTCTCAATGCTCAGGACAGGAGCACTCCCTCTTCAATCCAAAGTCTATTACCCGGCGATTTACTTGGAGGCGAAACTAATTAACACATCCACACACAGGTAGGCCTACCACAGCCCAACACACACCCGCCCCCTCGCCATCTCCATGTCTCTCTATCTCTCTCTCTCTCTCTCTCTCTCACTACAAACATACATACATTTACATACCCTCTCGCCTCTGATTTTATTTATACAAAATCTATATGTTTTTAATTATGTGTTTTGATATGAAAATAAAAATATCAAAAGAAATTGGAGAGAAATAGTATGAGAGACGGCGACCAAAATAATTGGTGGTAATCAATGAACAATTGACATAACATTACATTCATTAAACACACACAACACAGACCACAGACACGCATACGAAACACATATGATATTAAAATATTGAGATATTATTAGATTTTAAAACAAACAAAACAATTAAACCAATGATTTTAATGCCATTATATTTCTGATTGCAATCGTTTGCAATCAATTAATAAAATGATTGCAAATCAGAATAAAACGCCAAATTATTCGTGCTTTTTGAGCGCTATTTGACGCAAACAAATCAATACAAAATAATACAATTCAATTGGTTTAACGAAACAATTGATTGAATTGATTATTATTATTAATTATTAACGATTATTATTAATTATATATATAAATATATATTATATATTATAAGATAAAGAAAACAAAAAATTTTTGTGTTTTATTTTCAAATTTTTTCAAATCATAGTGTGATTTACTAATAGAGCGAAAAAAATTTAAATGAAAAAACCACTCCTTAATGAATGATATATCAAATTCCTGCGAATTAAACACAGAATTTATTACTCTATTTATTATTATTATAATTATTATGATTTTTTCGAGCAAAGCGTGATTTGATGGACAAAGTGTCAGATCATTTCATCGCAATCTTGTGATACTACGCGTGCTTTATAGTTATGATCGACTTTCCAAACAAATTCAATATTATTATTAATTATTAATTAATATTATTATTATTATTAGTAATTGTATTATTATTATTCATAAAAATGACTGCAAAAAAACAAAAAAAAAGTATAAAAATCCAATAGTTTATAATTTGTGTAAATATGATATATGTTGTAAAATGTATAATAAGCGGGTAATCGTTGTTAATATGGTTAAAACGTTAATTCCTTATAATTTTAATCGTGCGGTGCTTTCTCTTTGCTCAGTGATCACCACAACAAACCACATACACAACATATATATGTATATCGTTCTGTATGTATGGTATATATATATGTATGTCCGGCGCCGCACCCATACATACAAGTCTACGATATTTTCTAATTTTAATTAATTGAGAGAATAAGACGTGTTTTAAAAGACAAATTATAGATATCATCAATAAGTGGCTCACTATTCATATTTAGTGCTGATTTTGAATCAATATTTTTGTCACAAATTCGTATCGAAATAAATGCACAATAAATACAAACGAAACAAATATTGATATTATTAATTAATTAAACAAGACTTGAAAAAATAATTTGTGCACAGAATTTACAGTTTAATTATTTGATTATTAAATTTGAATTTTGATTTTGAAACGAAAATTAAGCATTTAATTAGTATAGTATATATGGAGTATATGTATAGATATTGGATTGAGTTTTCTTTAGTGCATAATTATAATTAATTGTATATTATTTTTAGGACCCATTCAGTCAATTGTGATTTGAGAGGAAAAACGATTGAATTGTCGACATTTGAATATTTCAATTCAATTCAATACAATTTCATTACAAATTCAGTGCACATTCGGGTCATTGGAATCATTAGATGTTAATTTAGACGATCATTGATTTGATTGATTTCGTGCTTTTCATTTTATTTGTAAATTTAATGCACAAAATAATTGGATAAAAAAGATTATCACTATTTTAAACAAATTTGAGTCAATACTTCAATTGGTCGGTACGAGTGGTATATCAGAAGCAATGGATTGTTTTGATAACTCGATCGGCAAATGTCTAACTTAGGCTCTGGCCGTGCCTTTGATTTACAATCGATATTTCGGTTATAAATTGATAATAAAATGAAACTGTTTTTTGCATATTTCAAGAGCTCACCAAATGTGATGTCCTGACCCCCCACTGGCCAAACCACTGGCCATCGGCCGGACATGTGTTCTAAATTATATTAAATATATTAAGATTTCAATATTACTGATCAAAACATAGTTTAAAACTTAAATTATTATTAATTGTCTTCTAATTAACGACAAAACTTTTAATATGCATTAAAAACAAATCATTCACTAATTTATTATATCAAAAGTTTTAGTCTAAATTCAATTGCTCTTACGATATGTTTCATGTGGGTTCATTTGATGGTTCATATTTTACATTTATACATAGGTTTACTCATAGCACAGAATAGGCATCGATTCGAATAGGAATTAAATGCAATGCTATGATTAAGTTTTATGATGAGTATATTATATGTAAAAGTATTAAAATGAACCATCAAATGAACCCACATGA